TGTTAAACAATGCTGGAAAAATGCTAGAGAGGCTGATCAGAACTCGCTTGAAAGGAGAAGTCAGCCTCTCAGAAAACCAGTATGGGTTCCGTAAGGGGCGATCGACGGTTGTGGCTGTGGCCGAGGTCCTCGGGTCGGTCGAGGAGGCATGGAAACCTTCTCATAAGACGAGGAGTGTCTGTGTCCTAGCGACTCTTGACGTGAAGAATGCCTTTAACTCGGCGTAATGGTCCGACATAATGAGGGCCCTGAAGTGCCAGAATGTACCGGACTACCTGAGAAAGATCCTGGACAGTTACCTCCAGGATCGAGTACTCCGGTACGACACGAAGGATGGACCAAAAGAGAGGCGTCTGACATCGGGAGTCGCTCAGGGATCTGCCCTTGGCCCCGATCTCTGGAACCTGGTCTACGACGAACTTTTGCGCCTTGAAATGCCTCCGGGGGTCAAGCTGACGGGCTTTGCTGACGACATAGCATTGCACGTCACAGCGAGATCGCGAGAGGAGGCCGAGCGCAAATCACGGTGGGCGGTCGCGATAGTGTCAGAGTGGCTCCGGGATCACGGTTTTGAGCTAGCTGTAGGAAAAACGGAGATGGTCGTCCTCACCAGGCAGAGGTGGTTCGGGGGTGACTTTCGCCTGAGCGTTGCGGATGAGGTAATCTGCGCGAGCCCGGTGGTGCGCTACCTCGGAGTGTGGATCGATTCACGACTCACCTTCGGGGAGCACATCAGAAGAGCAGCCGATAAAGCCGCTAGGGTCTCTGGGCCGCTTTCACGGTTAATGCCGAACGTAGGGGGCCCGCAAGAAGCCAAAAGACGGCTCCTTGCGTCGGTCACCAACTCGATCCTGCTGTACGGTGCGGAGGTGTGGGCGGACGCACTCGCGAGGAAGGATCTCCGAGAGCACCTAACTTCGGTGCAGCGTATCGGATCCTTAAGAATCGCGTGTGCCTACAGCACGGTCTCCTCCGCTGCCACTATGGTGATAGCACGAACGATACCCGTCGTGTTGCTTGCGCGGGAGCGTCAAAGGAAATTCCTGGGCTCCGGCGACCAAAACGATGGCGACAGGCGGGAGGAAACGTTGACGACGTGGCAACAGGAGTGGGATCGGGCTGTAATGGGTAGATGGACGTACCGCCTGATTCTGGACCTGCGGCCATGGGTGGAGAGAGGGCATGGAGAGGTAAACTACCACCTCACCCAGTTCCTCTCCAGGCATGGTCAGTTCGATGCCTATCTCCACCGCATCGCGGTGAGGGCATCTCCTAGATGTTCTTACTGCCCTGCGTTGGATGATACCGTCTAACATACGTTTTTCGTGTGTGAGAGATGGCACCGTGAGCGCCAGCGGCTGGTGGACAAGATCGGCGTGGCACCCGCTCCCGAAACCATCATCTCTGAGATGCTCAGCAGCGAAGAGGGGTGGACGGCAGTGGATGGCTTCGTCGGGTCAGTCCTCCGGCAGAAGAAAAAAGAGGAGAGAGCCGCCGTGCAGGTAGCGGGGGCCCCTGAGTAAAGGATGTGGACTCAGGCTGCGATGAAGCATCATTGAAGCGCTAGAAGACGGGTGCCGGTCCTCAGGGACCCCGAGTCCTTTTCAGGACTCGAGAGGACTGGCACCTCTAGCAACTGGTGGCGAGCTTGCTCGTAAAGGCTGTGAGATACGATGTTCTCCCGGGTGGCTCCACCCTGAAGTAATGATAACGCGGTTCCGGGGTGGATCAAAAGCCACGCGGCAAAGGGGGGGGGGTTTAGTGGGTATGGGTGGTCTAATAAAAAAAATCCACCGGGTCCCACACTACCGCTGTCCCTGCGGTGTGCCTCAATGCATTTTTCCTCCCTCCACACAAAAAAAAAAAAAAACTACTACTACTACTACTACTACTACTACACTACAACTCACCTGCAACGGCGGCTACGGTCCTGAATGAAATGTATCACATAAGGCTGAGCTGGGTGTACTACAGGATGCGGCCCAAATCTAAAGCTGAGCGCTGCCTTAAGTGCCTTGGCTTTGGCCACATTGCCAGGCAGTGTGGTGGGCCCGACAGGACCAGGGCGTGCTGGAGGTATGGTTAAAGGGGCCACGTAGCACGTTACTGCTTTAAGAAAGAAGTGATCCGTTGCCTGTTTGAATGTGACGTCTCGAAACCGGACACTGGACACGTCACTGGGACTGCCAGAAGTCAAGCGATGCAGGCGTTTGCAGGGAAAGCTAAGCAAAAATGGCGGTGTCCCTGAAGGTACACCTTGATAGGACTGTACTTGCGCACGATCTGCTGGATCAGCTTGCACGTGCCCAGGGTGTGGACTTGGTCTTTATGAATGAGCCGTCTCGCACGGTACCGGGCTGGTGCTGGTACTGCGACAGGACAAAATGCACGACCATCATAATCTGTAGCAACAGGCTGACCGTATCCGACACCGGAGATAGAGACGGTTCCGTATGGATCAGGTGTGGAAGTGTATACTATGTGAGTTGCTATATTTCTCCTAACATTCTGATTAATTTTTTAAGAGGGCGGCATGCCAAACTCGAGGATGCTGTTCGCGTGTGTGGGAAATACGGTAATGTAGTCCTGGCCAGCGACTTCAACTGCAAGGCCATCGCTTGAAGGGAGCCGAGAACCGACTCCAGGGGGCAGGCGGTGTTGGAGATGGCCGCAAGGCTAGATCTCATCGTCATAAGCTCTGGTACTTCAGCAACGTTCAGGCGGCCGGGTAACCAGGGTATGATCATCGATCTCAAGCTGGTGTTGTTACAAATAGCAGCACGGGTGTTTGACTGGCAAATCCTGGAGGACTACACGGCTAGTTATTACCAGTATGTCAGCTTCGTGTTAAACGAGAACTGTGGAGAAAGCTCACGAGAAGTAATCCGTAGTAGTAGTAGTGATAGTAGAAGTAGTATGGTAGTGGTAGTGGTAGTGGAAGTGGTAGTGGTGGTGGTAGTGGTAGTTTTTTTTTTTTTTTTTTTTTTTTTTTTTTTTTTTTTTTTTTTTTTTTTTTTTTTTTNTTGACGCAATTTGTGATAAAATAAAAAATAATTGCAGTTAATATTTTTCAATCTTTTCTTTTATTTCCCAAAAAATCAAGTGCAAGTAATCCATATGAAAACACGATTAAAAAAAAGTTACAGATAACATACGATTCCTATGTAAGTACTTGCAGTGTTACTCTGAAATATTCAAAAGCGCGCGCCTTACGTCTCTACAAAACAAAAATGGCGTCTCGCCATGACCCTGCTAAAACAATGACTTGATCAATACTTTTCGAAATATCTCAACTGTTTCCACGGTTACATATATTTTTTAAGGTGCCATCTGAAAGCTGAGATTATTGTCTATAAAATGCTTACTGTCCCGATTCTTAACTCCTCGGTTACGGTTAGAAATTGGCGATGTTTTCACGTGACTCCATAAGAGGTTGTGTATAATGTGCGAACTTTGAGAGCAAATATCTCCAAATTTTCCACGGTTAGAGGGGTAAATGAGGACACCGTTGGAATCAGCGTGTTTTTATCTACCAATTAAGCTACCTGTGACCTCCTAACTCCTCCCGCTGGAGCCCCCTTAAATGATGTGATTCACCGTATACTATAGCTGAAAAAATCTTGACACGTATCACAAGTTTTTCCGTTTCTTGATCGTGTGTATAAGATCGGAAAATTCTGTGCTACGTATCAGAAATTTGCTGTTGCTGTAGGTGAAAAACATGCACCAGATGATACTGATTAAACTAGTGGAAACAATTTTAGAAAATTTTGAAATTTCATTTTATAGATGATTTTACATTGCGTTGCATTAAATTCAATTATCTTATTTAATTATCCACAAGCTAATATAGCTTATTTAAAATTTTATTGAGTGAAAAATCACTGTACTATTAGTAAGAAGTTAATATTAAACGCAACATTTTAGTAGTTTAGAATAATAGAAATACTAGAATACTTGTATTGTGGTTTGTGAAAATCATTCAGTCGAATATACGTTATAATTTCTTGTATAGGACACTAATTTTTTGAATAAGCTTGTATTAAGAAAAAGTATAAAAATTTTATTTCAAAATACAGAAACAAATCTAACGAAAAAATGATTTAAAAGTACTTTTTATGATTATGTTTTGATAATACTTAATCTTTAAAATACTCAGCAGCTTTTTTTTTTCTTACAGAGGAAAAACCTTGCCATGCTACTACCCTATATTCTTTTTTTTGGTGGATTGAGTTTCAGCACTTAAAGAATAGCTTTGGCTTATGTTTTTCTTTGCAATCTGATAAAACAGGGCCATAACCTAAACTTATAAAATACCTTGTCAAGATAACTTTTTTTCTTACTTGGCAGAATACTAGTCTTAGTTTAATTCGACTTATTTTTTCTAACGAATTTTGCATCTGTTTCCCTCGGAGCAACCAACAACATTCTTAGTCCCTTTGTTTTTGGTATGAAGAATTGGATCTCTAAGTTTTGGCTTTGCTGTTAAATTACTTTGCTACTCATTCTTCATTTTTCTTCCTCAACAATTAGGTTAAAATCCTAAATTTTCAGTCTAATATTTCGTTCGTCTGTACCAACTTTTCCTAGGCTAGGAACAAACTCTTCAAACTTTAAAAAAAAAAAGAACTTCGTCTTTTACACCTTCAGCTTTTGTATCGCCTTTTTTTGTCGTGACAACATCCTGAATTATCGTTAAATTGATATCTTTATTTGTAACCCTTCTGTAATAAAAACATTCCTTTTTTGTATCTTGTTGTATATCTCCGTGGTACTTACCTAAAAAAACTAATCTGACTCCAGTGTTTTTTACAAAAAAACTAAGAGAATAAAAGCTTATTTATTTAACATACTTTATTGTTTTGTACTCATTGTATTTTATCTAACTTTTATGGTCAGTTTTAAACAATTATGAATTTGACAAAACAAGAATAAGACAATGAAACAACAAAATTATTATTTCTACATAAAATTAAAAAACTTGCAAAATAATACGGAGAAGGATGAATGTATTTTCACATAATTTAAAAAAATGACTTGATTTATTATAAATAAGTATGAATTTTTCAGAGCTGATAATGTAACAAATGTGTTTATATATATATATCGTTGTACACCGATTTGTGTATTCATGTGTACATGAATGTTTACGTAAATGAGTCAATCATTAGTTTTTTGTTTGTATTAAGCTTAGTTTCAATCCACTACATTGTTTACCAATTAGCGAGACTTCACAAATATTACAAGCCAAGTTTTTAAATTGCACTTGATAGCTAACATTACAAAACGGGCACTTTACTTCAGGTTTTCCTCGATAAATTGGTGTAAATGATATAGCACAAATTGTAAATGGATTGTGTTCATCATAGTCTAACGAGTGTTCATCGACAGGATTTTTATCGCAAACCTGAAAATAAAAGAAGAATGTAAATTTTTATCATGTCATGTAAGTATCAAGTTAAATTTTATAAAATGATTTTTTATAGCTATGAAAGAGGTCTCCGCTAGTTTAAGGGGGCTCCAGCGAGCACTGGTACCAACCCGAAAATAATTGGGTTAGTTGGTATTACTGCTGTAAATATATATATATGCGAGCAGGCGAGCACCATAATCTATATATATGTGTGTAACTGTATGGTAAACAAACAGCAGCTGCTGTCACGTACAGAACGTATTATTTAGAATTAGTTTTTTTTGTTATAACGAATGAAAGAAAGTGCCAATGAAAATGAAAAAACGTGGATGAATTCTTCTCGAATTTCGATTGGGCTTCGCAAAGGTCAGTTTAAGAAGAAATCCATCGCAAAAAAAAAGAGAGAGGTTAAAAAAAGACTATGCGAGGTATATACTTTTATTAATTAGTCTAAAAAACAAAAATTTTTATATAAGTGCTTTACATTGTTTATTATAGGAAAAGGGTAGAGAGTTCCATATGAAAACACGATTAAAAAAAAGTTACAGATAACATACGATTCCTATGTAAGTACTTGCAGTGTTACTCTGAAATATTCAAAAGCGCGCGCCTTACGTCTCTACAAAACAAAAATGGCGTCTCGCCATGACCCTGCTAAAACAATGACTTGATCAATACTTTTCGAAATATCTCAACTGTTTCCACGGTTACATATATTTTTTAAGGTGCCATCTGAAAGCTGAGATTATTGTCTATAAAATGCTTACTGTCCCGATTCTTAACTCCTCGGTTACGGTTAGAAATTAGCGATGTTTTCACGTGACTCCATAAGAGGTTGTGTATAATGTGCGAACTTTGAGAGCAAATATCTCCAAATTTTCCACGGTTAGAGGGGTAAATGAGGACACCGTTGGAATCAGCGTGTTTTTATCTACCAATTAAGCTACCTGTGACCTCCTAACTCCTCCCGCTGGAGCCCCCTTAAATGATGTGATTCACCGTATACTATAGCTGAAAAAATCTTGACACGTATCACAAGTTTTTCCGTTTCTTGATCGTGTGTATAAGATCGGAAAATTCTGTGCTACGTATCAGAAATTTGCTGTTGCTGTAGGTGAAAAACATGCACCAGATGATACTGATTAAACTAGTGGAAACAATTTTAGAAAATTTTGAAATTTCATTTTATAGATGATTTTACATTGCGTTGCATTAAATTCAATTATCTTATTTAATTATCCACAAGCTAATATAGCTTATTTAAAATTTTATTGAGTGAAAAATCACTGTACTATTAGTAAGAAGTTAATATTAAACGCAACATTTTAGTAGTTTAGAATAATAGAAATACTAGAATACTTGTAAATAAAGTTCAAAGTAAAAGATAGGAAGGGAGAAAAACAAGTTCTCTGATAAAATAAGGCAATCTAGAAAACAGAGATGTTTTTTCCTATGAGTGTGCTGTCTTAGAGATTTTTATTAACGTTTCCAGAAGTTCCTTAGTATTAAAATTCATAACTAAATGAGGTACTGTATAACAATAGTAGTACACTGTCTCCAGGACGTCGAAAAATATGTTGATGAGTGTTTAAATGTTCATCATGACTACCACAGAACGTGCTATGGTAAGATATAACTGTGCTTCCTCCATGACATCCATAAATGTGTCCCGGAGTTCATGAAGGAAACAGACAATGATCTGAAGGCGTACTGCGGGAAGACATGAGTGTATTACTTCAAGAATGTTAACGAATGTGTTCAGGGTTTTCGCAGCGTGACAGAAGATGACTTAAGAGGGTTCTGCGAAAAGGCATGCGTGTGCGGCATCGAGTACATCAACACACGTGTTCAGGAGTGTGCAAGTATTACAGATGACTATCACAAGGGTTACTATTGATAGTTATAAATGTGCTACTCCAAGAACATCGACATAAATGTTTAAGAGTATTATAGATAATTATCAGAGCGGGTACTGTAGGTAGATATAAGTTAGAGAGGGTAAAAATGGGAAAGTGGCTGAAGTGTCCGACAGTCACCAATTTACTATATCATTTTTGGGACTAACTGGGAAAATAACAAGCCAAGCAGTGATATGTATGAGTGTGAATCTGTTTTTCTCTCCACCGCTTATATCACGCCTGTAGTCCTGAGAATGTCGTCTTCAGCCACACTCCACTTTATACCCTCTTTATTATAAAAGCGCTACCTCAAAGATGCAAACATAAGTGTGCTATTTAATATGAGTGAGTTACGTCGACGACATCGACAAGCATGTCCTGAAGTCCCTGAGCGTAACAATAGATAACCTGAGAGGGTGATGTAGGAAGACATTAGCGTGTTACCTTAAGAACAAACACAAATATAGTCAGGGTTTCCTGAGCGTAACGAAAGATGACTGGAGGAGATACTGCGAAAAAAATGAGTGTACTGCCTCAAGGACATCAACAGATGTGTTTAGAAGGGTCTGAGTGTTACAGATGACCATCACAGGGTAGGTAGGCATACATGTGCCACCACAAGAACGCTGACAAATATGTCTAGAAGTGTCTGAGTGTTTTGGACAATTGCTTAAGAAGGCATTGCAGGTAAAACAAGAGTGCGCTGTCTTAATAATGTCTCAATATTGTCGTTTTTAGAAGTTTCGGAGTGTAACAGTTGACAACTAAAGGTGACTAATATGAGTAACTAATATAGGTGAGTAGTGACTTACAGGTAATACAGGCCAATATTAACTAATATAGGTGACCTTCACAGAGGGCTTTGTGGTTAGATATTAGTGTACTACTTTAAGGGTGTCAACAAATGTGTCCTAGAGTTACTAAGCATAACCAAGATAATTAGAGGGGACACTACAAAAAATCATAAGTGCGATGTTGTAAGGATACGTCTTAATAATATGTTGACAGACAATTGCTTAAGATCTCACGTGTTACTGTTGACGACCAAAAGGAAATTGAAAATAGATTTTATAAGTGAGCAAGTCCAAACTGTTTCCAATCCCAAAAATTAAGTTATATAAAACACAATTTTGTTATTTTTTTTTAACTTCAACTATATAATCGCAATAAATTTATCATTAATTCTTATTAAATAAAATGAATAGTTTACATAAGGATTTGTAACATGTCAAACTTGCTTACTCTAAGACTGTTGTTAAAGGTAGTTTTTATGAGAGAAATAGATATTACAAGAGTAATCCTGTAAAACATGAGTTACAACATGTGGATTTGTTGCTAACAGTATACAAAATCAAACAGACATTGATATGGAAACAGAAAAAAAAACACGAAAGTATAATCAGTAAACAAAATATAAGTAATTTACTGAATATATTGATGCCAAAGCGATGTAGACATCAAAACATTTAAATGTAAGTGAAGATGCTGAAAAAACGTCGATCAATTTCCTGAAATTTGTCTCTAAAGAAAATTTAGTTCTTGCTAACTATTGAAACATTCGTAAGGCCAAAGATTAAAGTAGGTATTTTAATGTTTAAGTAAATGGGTTCTAAATCCAAAGTTTAGTAGCGTCATAAAAAAATGAGCAAATATACACTAAAATAAGTCAATTTGGAGCAAATGTCAAGAAAAAAATAGATGGACAGATAAAAATGTATTTATTCTTTTCTGTTGCAAAATCGCAAAAAACTGTTTTTAAAGTATATTATGTATGTTATTTTTATTCCACATTTTAGCCAGTTAGTGAAAAGAATGTCATACATTTAATATACTCTTACATTCATTAAGAAAACAGGGTCTTACAAACAGCGGTGAGATTTACATAAGCTACCTATTTTGTAAGTTACTCTAAAAATTAACCGTTTTGTATTTTTTACCTCTAAAAATAGGGCAAATCCTGGTACCTTGAATCATACATTTATTATATTTTACGTGGAAATTGTCTTCGGAAAAAGTCATTTTTATGACGAAATGGAAAATTTGTTTTTGTTGTACTCAAAAAATAAATTTATAGAACAAAGACGTGGTCCTTCTTAGAAGCAGCAATATAAATCGTAAATAAAGTATAAAAAATTGACTTTTACAAAAGATTAGTAAATGCATTGAATATATTTTTGCAAACTTAACATGTAAGCTTCAAGGTGATTATACTTTTTCAAATGTATGTTTCAATTTTATTTTGTAACATTATACTGTATGCTGAAAAATTTCATGTTCAATGAAAATTTGTTTAAGTAATAAAGACAGTTAACATGGGCGATGAGAGTGCACTACTGTAATTTCAGAAGCAGCAGTAGTAGAAATTCGTTAGGAACAAATTCTAAGACTGCATCAAAAAATACATCGCATGATAAAAATTTGAGTAGTTTAAATTGTATTCTAAAAATAACTTAGCTATGTAAGACTCCAACTAGTATGCTTATCCTATATAGCATATAACTTTCTTACTATAATAACTTAATTATACAATCATTGGAAGGGTCTCTAAATAAATTTGTTTTGTGTCATGCTGTTGCGTGGAAAATTTCGTCATGGATCGATGACATATGGAAAGGAGGCGTGGTTATGTCACCGATTTCTCTATTGGTATGAGATTGGTCGCGTATCACGGCGGAATCGGCGAACACGGTTACGCGGGTGAGGGATGGGGATCGGAAAGAAAAAGCCGAGGTGTGCTTCGAGAAAGAGACAAGGAAAAGTGTCAGTTTTTGATTTTGGTTAATAAAGGGAAGGACTGAAAAGGAGATTGAGGTGAGCAAATTACTTTATAGCTTGAAGGGACGTAAGTCGCAAGACTTTTAAGAATTAGGACATAAAGCCATCAATTGTTTAATATACCAATCAAAGGGTGGTCCTGATTTCGTCCATCAGATATCTTGGGTACGTTTGTTCACAGCAGTACTTGAAGTCTCACCCGTATTTCCATCTAGTTTCTTTTTGTTAATTCAATCGCTTAGCACGTTGGTCTTTTGTAGTCCTGGTCCTTCCGCCCCCCCCCCCCCGAACATCGGTGATTATTTGTTTTGTTTTTGAATT